ATATGTAATTTTCATTATTCATTTTTCCAGTGGTTATTGCAAAATAAATTATATCTCAATGTCATTAAAATATTTAAATAATTTCGTACATACATTTGATTAAAAATACCACAAAAATCGATAACCGAAACCATTATTCCATCTACTTTGTATTTTCATAATGAATCCACTTTTTATTATTAACTTACAGTACAAAATTTTTCCTTCTAAAATTTCTGTATTTTTATTTCCTAGATAATTTTTCGTAGATTATAATATATATATCGTGGAATTTTTAATGTGCACTTTAGTTACAATTATTTTCAAATAAATTATTTCTCTGGTTTTGCTGAATTATATATGTCCTATATTCTTACGTCAAATTATATTTATCGTTCTATATTTTATAGCTCACAGGCTTTACAAGCCTGGATACTTTTCCTTTTCTTTTTTTTTTTTTTTTTAATGTTACTTTTCAAACATGAAAATTACATTTCTTTTTATCTCGTTATTTGATCTTGCATAGTAAAACTACGATTCTCCTTTAAAATTTACGTTACACGTGCAACATAAATTTTATCGACTTTAAAAAGTTTTTATTTCTTTTACAAATCAAAGTACATAAATAGTTGTTTACAGTAAACGCAACAACAGTAATAAATAAATGTATCAAATGAATGGAAGATAATATTTTCTCACGTAACAAAGTTACGCGAAAACCAAATTTCCACAATGAAATTCAAAATTTTATAAACTTATATGATGTCGAGAACAGTCGGTAACGTTTCAGTTGGTATATATAGAAACGCGACAACAGTCGTGTCGTAAATTATCTACTTTAATTAACTATTTAATTATTTATTTAATTATCTACTATATGTATTTAAAATGCTAAATTATATTCCGAACTGTTAACAAAAAAAAAAAAAAAAAAGAAATGAATAAAAACATTTCGAGTAATCCCTTTTTCATTTTTTCGCTTTCGAAAGATAATCTTAAATAAATAACAGTATAACTACGGTAACAACGCCCTTTTTAACAAAATATTATTTTCAATATTTATTTACAAATATGACTACATGAAATCAATTTTTCATCACCAATAAATTTACATGAACTTCATAATATTATTGCCCTTCTAAAATAGTAATGTATAAAGAAAATAAAAATCGATTATGTTAATAATAAAGACATCTTAGTTAAATAATTATGTATTACAGTCAGTCTAGAAAGAGCATAATAAAATTGAACGATACCGAAGAAAATAGCTGCGATAAAAAGTGTAAGAAAATAATGCAGACTCTAATTAGAGCACGGAAGGTAGTGACGATGTTTAAAATTCATGTGCCTATTGACCTTAAAGTAGGTTCAAAGAGCAGTACCTACGTAGTACAGTGATTACTTGTGTCAAGAGCTGTCACGAGGAGAATGTATAATATCGGTATACGTAGCAACTAGAGGCGCATGGCAGAGCATAATCAAACCTAATCATGTGCATATCTCCATAATAATTTTAATAAGTTTTATTAGAATTTATTTTCAGACATTCATCCTTCCCCGACCAACTGAGACATAATTAATCGCTCTATGATAAAACTCTTATGATAAGTACTGCGTTAGACATTAATGGCTAATGTAGTGTCCTATGTCATTTACTATCAAAAGATTATAGTGGTTGGATTATGACTACTGCGAGTACAGGAGAAAAGTAGATTGCAGAAAATCTTATTTAACTACGACTGAATTTTCGATGCAATTTTTATAAATTAACCGAACAATAATTTCAATATCTGTGTAATGAGAAATAATTAGTATAATATTTAAATAATACAGTGGCACGTTATTTAAGGTTCTGCTATATTTTTATCATTTCCAAGTGACTCCAAAGATTATCAATTCAGATGTACGAGATTACAATACTGAAGATGATTGGAATTAAAAACAGACACAATCGAGAAAATGCAATCCACGTGACGAATATTTAATACCAATTAATGGATAACATATAAAAATAGAGATAAGTGTATAATATAATTGTTACCCTTTTCTTCATATTAACGATTAATAAAATACAACAATAACCAACTTTTTCAGATTATAAACGTACAATATGCTATCGATATTTCAACTATAGAACCCGCATATGGTAAACTTATCATTATATGGTATTGAGAGTCATATCTTAAAATATCGAAATTTTATAATAGCGAACTATGTAATACCTTACATAATGTAAAATGATAATTCAACAAATTATAAGGTATCAAATTTCCGTGATGAAACAGTATTGATATAGAAATAAAAGAGGAAACCTGAGGTGATTCCGTAAAAATTCAAATAAAATCAATAAAATTTTAGGCGACTGCGATCAACGCCATCTATGATCTGGGCTCAAAAAGCATTAAAGTAATAGGAATATAGAATAGGCAAGGAGGTCGACGAGGTGCTGGTCACGTGGTAGACAATGACAGAGAGAGGATAGAGAAGGACAGAATGGCCCCGGCAGTAAAAAATTATTAATTACTCGATTCCAGTAAACAATTTCTGAACTTTTATAACTTCGTTGCGAAGCTGGAACTTCAGGCTACATTCTCATATAACTTTCGTAAAGAATTTAACTCTAAATTGTTAGTTATTAATTTTTGATTTATGGCGTCTATGATTTCGTAACGACGACCATCGCGATCTTCCGTGAAAATATTTTATACTAAACGAAACTAGAAGCAAAATGTGATCAAAAGTTACATGAGAAGATTCGCTAGAACATTGTCTTTCTAACGAGTGCTTAAAGTTTCATAAATTAATTAAGTGGAGTATAGTAATTAATGAAAAACCAATGGCGTCTTCTACAACAATTCAAACACTTCGTAGAATAATAATTAATAATTAATTAATTAGGGATAAATTTATTTCGAAAAATATATTAGAAAGTTCTTGAAGGATCTGGCTTTACGATGCGATTATAAAAGTGCGTAAATTAATCACCAATATTCAGTAATTAGTGAATTTCCCACTGCCGATCTCGTTGCGGGACTCGAGCTTCGAGTCTAACCTCACAGATGGCTCTGATGTACTCGAATAGATTAATAACTCTGGTTATGTGCTCCGAACATATTTTAATATATTTTAATAAATGAAATCATGAAGTTTTCTACATTCTTTAATAAATTCAGCCGAAACAGCGGTTTTAATTAGGCAATGCGCATTCATTTCTTTATCTGGAAGACGACAAATATGCAAAGGTACGCCTTCACAACGCAAGTATAAAATTTCATGAGTTAATCACAGAAATTGCGTGATTTGTTAATTTTTCTTCAAGTGAACAGGAGAATGCATAGGAAATGAGAAAAAATTGCAAACAGACGCCGGAAGCATTGTTGTGTCCATTCAGTTGTGCCTGCATTTCGAAAAACATGTAAGTATTTATATTAACATAACCTTTACTTGTAAGTAAATAGCGTAAGTTACGAGCCACTGTTTTCCCACCCTTCATTAGTGATAGCAGAGCTATCATCGGTAAATGATTATTGGACTCATGGAATATCATCAGCGTACATGCCAAGAAATATATTTTATAGTGAGAAAAAATTAAAGAAGCGATACAAATATGTAAAGTATGATACGTCTATTGGTTTCTAGGTGCGGTAGCCATATGACATACCAGATAGAAATCTTTGATGGTCAAATAAAGATTCAGGGAATGACGCTGGTTTAGGCAGACAGAAGGGAATAGAATTAATTTAGGTAATGGCTTCTTATAACAAAAAGATATGGAGAACAAAGTGAGATTGAAAGGTATGTTGCATTCCTAATCTAAATAAATATTAATATGAGTGGTCAAAGTCAATGATCATTGCTAATGTGTTAAATTCGTATAAAAGAAGTGACAAGAGGAAACGCATGTTATGCGGAATCAAGAAGCAAAAAAGAAGCAGCATATGTATCGACAGAGAAAAATGTGTGCCATCGACATGGAAATATGAGGATCATTGCAGAGATGGAGAATGAACAATTGGTAATAGTTATTAAAGATAAAGATAAATTAAATATACTGTATAAATGTTGCATTAAGGCAAAAATGTGTAGAAATATCTATGGGAACTTGGAAAATATAAAATCAGCAACAATCATGGTGCTGTAGCACATCGTGGACTTTATTAAGTCAATGTCAAAAGGAGTTAAAGGTGCGTCTTACCTGCTGATGATTATTCGAGAAAAGAACCATTTGGTTGACTGATTTATAAATGACTATAGATTTAATATAAAATATTATTGAGAAATGATTTGTTCTATTACAGGATACTTACAAACATAAGTAATATTTATATACAAGGACCACCCACTATGGTTAAAGTAAGTATTAGTTAATAATATTTCAATGGATTGTACATCTGTTTTTAGAAATATAACGTATATACAATATTTACTTTCCAAATTTCTATATTAAGATATTAAACAATTTCTAGTTTAAATTACATTGATAAATAATAAATTTTGATAAATTTGATTTTGACAGTATTTTAAATTAATAAAGCTAATATATTTGTCATACCTAGGTTACAATGAAAACGACTGTTGGTGATATTGAGTTAGAATTGTGAGCAGAAGAAACTGCAAAGGCATATAGAAATTTCATACAATTATGTGTGGAAGGTTATTACCATGTCGCTATAATTCACAGAATTATCAAAGGATTCATAGCACATGCTGATGATCCTACAAGTACAGGAGGAGGTGGTAAGAGCATATATAGAGAACTGTAACAGGGAAATTTAAAGTGAGACTATATTAAAAAATAAAACTAATTTCTTTTTTATTAAAAAATAATTATTGGATACATGTGTTTTAGGACGAATTTTATACAAGTTTGCGTTTTTGTCGACGTGATTTAATTGCTGGGACTAATGCTGGAAAGATGACAATGGTTCCCAATACTTGTTTCTTCTTAGTTCTGCAACAGATTTGCAGAATAAACATGCAATCTTTGGTAGAGTTACTGGTGAATCTATATATAGTATGCTTAAACTCGAAGAAGCACTTGTAGATGAGGTAAATTTAATGCTCGCAAGAATATATATCAAGCATTGATATAAATATAATATTTCCTCTGTTTTGTAGAATGATAATCTAGTTTATCCTCCAAGGTAGATAAAACCTATAATATTGAACAATCCATTTTCCGATATTATACCAAGAATAATAGTACAGGAAGGTGAAGAAGTAAAAGACAGTTCAGAAACTCATACAGCAGGAGTAAAGTACAAATCATATATGTTTGCAGGATTTAGCCCTGGTAGAATTATTCTTTGTTATGAAAAATTTTGTTACAGACATTTCAATCTTCTATCATTTCGTGAAAGGGCAGAGAAAGATGTAGAAGAATCCGTGATATTAAATAAGAAGTTTAGTGGTAAGGGCAAATCAACTCATGATCATTCAACTGATCCAAAATTAAGCTCACAACCAGCTGTTGAACCACCTGGACTTGCAAATAAACAAAGGAAGAAAGGCCGCAGTAGCGATTGGGAAAATGACGACGAAGTAAAAACTCAAGAAGAATTAGAATTTGTATAGAAAGAGAAAGAGTTAGTTTATTATTTGCATTATAACTATGTTATAGAAAGTAGGAATTTTTATTGACTGTCTGTTATATTTATATTTTCAGAACAGTGAAGAAAAAGATTAAAGGTACATGGAGAGATATAGAAAAGGAACCGTAGGAAGTACAAAATTATAAAATAGATGATTTTGAAGATGATAAGGGTATAAAGGGAAATGAATAGGGTATAAAAAACTCCTTATGGGGTTTAGCACAAGAGAAAGCCGAGGAGATACA